CGTAACTGGAAAAAGTTAGAATTTGGATGTGTAATACTAGCTTAAAGATTATTCAGGTGTGTATTTCAAAAAATGCGAGTTATAATTTTGAGCAACTTCTCCCAATGCACCCAGTCTCTAAAACGTCGAAAAAGGGTAGAAAATATTTTTGACCGTCTTTATTCATATTCGTGCCACTGTGCGTCGGTAGCATTGGTGCTCAACACGGAAAACAAATCAAGGAATAAAAAGTGAACCATAACCGACACATTGAAATACTTGAAAAATTTAAGATAAAGTGTAATAGTCAAAAATGCATGACATACATCCTTCCTTAGCTCAGTCGGTAAAGGCGCAGCTACAAAGCAAGACCATGCTGGAGGTGGCTAGGTTCGATTCCCGGTCTGGTCTAGGAATTTTTCGGGTTGGAAAATGTCTCGACTTCCCTGGGCATAGAAGTATGATTGGACTTGCCACACAATTATACCAATGCAAAAATGGTACAGGCATCGAAAGCTCTCAATTAATAACTGTGGAAGTGCATTTAGAACACTAAGTTGAGAGCACGCAATAAGCTAATATGCCATGCGCAATAAGCTTGAAAAGCGAAGAAGAATAAGAAGAAGAAGAAGAATAAGAAGAAGAAGAAAGATATCAATTTTGTGTGGTTCTACGTTATACTGCGGTAATGTATACGACACAACCCTTTAATTTTTACCTTTGTTACTAGCGTAACATAGGTATTAGAATCGATTTTCACACGTCCTGCCGTCTGCTCCCGATAGCCATCCACACAAGCTATCTCACCTGTGTAAAACATTCTCAATCGATAGAACTCGGCGCGATCTGGCTCGACAGTTTAATTACGACATCGTAGAATCAAATTGAATATGAAAAATCGACCCAGCAAGGTGAAATTTGCTGATGTCTGCATGTGCGTCTGTGGACGCGTTTCATCTAGGCAAGCTTTTTTCGAGATGGCTCATGCGATCAATATGGTTGATATCTCGTTCGATAGGCCCCATTGCGCCATTGATCGCTATTGAATTTTTTCTCGATCTGACTTCCTGACGATCTGACACACACGCTATCTCACCTGTATAAAACATTCCCAATCTATAAAGCCCAATCGATTCCCAATTTAATCTAAGCAAGATTTTTTGGAGATGGCTTATTCGATCAATATGGTTGATACGTGCATGTCCCCTGTTTTTTTTTTCCAGTCAGAAGAAGGCTTTATGTTTAGTTTGGGCGTTATGATCAGAAGAAGAAATCGGACGCAAAATCGTGGAATGTAGGGGAGAATAGCCCATAATGCACCCCTGGATTAAAATGGCCCCGTGCAGTTTTTCGTTGCTTATCTATTACTAATTTTGGAAATATCGTGCCAGAATGTTAGTTCAAGCACTGAACTAGCAATGCTGATTTTTAAATTCACGAATTGACAATGGGAAAGATATGAAAAACAGCGCAGGGGCATTTTACCCCAGGGGTGCGATTTGAACCATCCTACCCTACGTATTCCAATAGACCTTTTCGATGCTTAATCGTCTTTCTCTATTTATCACACATGTATGAATCGATGGTGTATTTTCCCACTAATGTGTTTCCCTCTTGCTCGCACTCGTTGGACTTAAATGGTACAGTAGTGTGCACCGAGTAGACGTCGAGAAGCTCTATAAGACCAGTCAGATGTTGTCCCTTTAAATTTGTGCACGACCGATGAGATCAACCTTAATAAAAACCTCAATAATCTGCTGGAAAATGAGGAAAATTTACGAACATTTTACACAGTCTAGTAGTAGTACCAATACCGAGAAAATCCAATCTTTAGTGTTATCATTTTCTGGTATTCTGGAAAAAACTTTTTGTGATTTATGAGTAAAGTAAAATCAAATTTGGGTTGATCTCGTTGGCCGTGTGCAGCGAGTTTTTCCGGGGGGTAATTGGCGCTTTAAACCTTGGTCTATACATCACACTCATTTTTAAAAATCGCTATTGGAACTGCTACATCGTGAAACAAAATTGGAAACTCTGACCGATCAGTCCCGTTAGAGTAGCTGTTGGAAGTGCCGCAGGCTATGGTGCAACATGTTTTCGAATTTTATTCTGTATTCTTGCGGAATATTGAAAAAGGTCCTATCCTCGGCCTCTCTCTTTGATTTACCACGGCAACATAAACGAATTTCTCGCTAAACTCACAGTACAGTTCAACATAAGATGATGTTAGCTGTATAGTCGCTATATTCATAGCTTGGTGGAGAGAATTTCGGGAACCAATTGAGCTGTCAAATAGTCGTTTGACCAATTAAGCTGTCCAACAACAGAAAAAGGCACATCAGCTATTACGACCAAAACTCCGGAAGCCGTTTTCTCGTGACTTAAGCCTCGCCTACGCAAACTAACTCAAATTTCCCCTATCCGATGATGAAAGCATAATCAAAGTTTTGTTTATAAAACTTGATAGTACCATTTCAATTGTTGGTCTACAATATATTGAATTGGTTCCGCTCTTTGATATATCGAAATTCTATCCACCAGACTATAAATATAGCGACTATAGTTAGCTTGCACCTGAATCAACACACTGAATGGGAAATTCATTTGCAGTCGGGTTATTCGTGAAAGAGAAATCAATGAAGAGAATTGGGCTGATTGATTATTTAACTTTATTGGTTCGTTAAATATTGTTGTAATATAATAAGATTGTATATAATAAGATTGTGCTTAAAGTATGTAGAGCACAATAAAGAAGATTAAGTAAAAAGTCATTAGGCTATGATTTATGTTTTGGACTCCAATTCAAACTAACAATTGCTGTTTTGTTTGCAGTACTTGAGCAGTGCAGAAACTGAGACCAATAAAAAATATCCATTAGGGCTGGCTCGTACATATATCTATGGATAATATCAAAAACGAGATAATACTGGGTAACAAAGGTTCTATTCACCTGCCCGGTGGATCAATTTGGGTTTTTTTATTTAATTCTAGCTTGTTCAACAAAATTCCCAGATAAAGTCTATGAATTATTTCTATTGGATGCCGTAAACTTCTTTTTACTTTACTTTACTATGCATAAAATGCGTATTATTTTCACTTATACAAATTTCTATATGGGGATTTTTATTACTTACTACCAATGAGACAGTGCCATCTGTGTGAAAAATAGCCTAAATGGTTCATTGTCTGATCTGCTTTAGAGAATAGACGTTCTGAACTTCAAGTTGGGATGGAACATAGTTTAATCGATGCTCTGTTGGCTTGGTGGTCTATATTCACTAAAACAAATTCAACTCCTACTTCCGATGAAAATTTAAATAATCGTGCAATTATCGATGCCAAATAATCGATTAGCAGATAATCGAGGCATTGAATAATCGATTAAAAAATTAATCGAGTATTTTGACAGATAATCGATTAGCTCGACTAATCGAGTAGTAATCGGACATCACTACTGGTACCTCTATATATATTTAGATTAACATTTGAAGTCCCTCCTTTTTTACATAATCAGCACAAAAGATGCTTTTTGCCCCGCCCCATACATAAAAATCGGCGGGAATTCCTATGAGGGGTGAGCTATTTTGTGTGCAGAATATGTAAAAAAGGAGGGACTTCGGATGTTAATCTAAATGCATATATAGAGGTACCAGACATGTTTTGCACTGCAGTGTCCTCTGTGAACAATTAACGTAAACCAGATTATGAGTACTTTTTGATAGATGTCACCGCAAACAACAGCAGTGACATTTGATGGAACATGAATGCAGAAGCTTGACAAAATGATTAATTCGCATGCAAGTCCTTTTGATTACTTTATGTGGCTTTTAGTCAACCTTTTTTTTTTTCCTCTGGTTTGTTTTTTTCCGTCGATCTTGTTTTCCGTGCTGAGCATCAATGCTACCGACGTGCCAGGAAGACAGCTCTCACACCTGGACCCTACCTATCGACCCATCAACTCATGAACCGGGGACCAACGGCTTTACTTCCCATCCGAAGGAAGGCGTGATCAGAGATGTTATGCCTCAGAACATCCCGGCGGCGCAGACTGGGATTGAACCCAGGCCTGCTGGGGTGAGAGGTAATCACGCTTACCACTACACCACCGGCGCCGGTTTTAGTCAACCTTAAACTATGTCAATATTTTGCTTAAAGAACGGTTAAGCTGAAAACACTTTTTATTCAACTGGTTTTGAATATTTAGGAATGTGAAGTTTAACAAGAACGCATATGATATGTGTCGCTTTGAAACAGCTACCAACAATACTTCTCCCTGTCAGACCGAGATACGATGAGTCATTTTACAGCTAACTAGAATACTTTTTCTTCGGGAAACACAGCTCTCATCTGTCATCAAAAGCCTGGAAATTCACGCGACGAACGCAGATTTCAAGCGCTTACGATAGGTTTGTAAATTTTGATAACACTTTCCAATTTGCTCTACCAGTAAAAAAATCTTAAGCGCAGAAACGTCAAACGCAGCTTTTCAAGCCATCGGACATTAACACGCAAACATTGAGAATACAGCAAAATGAATATCGTTAAAATGTGGGACAGACAATGAAGGTGATGATGATGGTTGGCACTAACATATCAATAAAGGCAGTAACAACAACCACAATTATAATAACCTATAATAACGATAGTGGCAGACAGATTGGTTGCAAGAAGAAAGGTGTAAATCAATAAAATTGGAAAATTTTAATGAAAATCGTTCAAAGAGCAGCATTCTGGAAAAGGGAATGGATGTTTGCTTGTTTTACGCGTCTGTTCGATCAAATCCGAACCTTGATGATGTGGTATGGTGGTAATGATTGCTGACAGAGAGGGAAAGGGTGGCTGATTGAGTTGACAACACAAACACAACATTCAAACAGGATGAGGGGCGGTCACGATCGGAAATGTTAATCAATTTGATGAACGTTTGTCCGCTGAATAAGGGATGCAGTTTTGCTTTGTCTCAATATGATTCGCTCTGACAGTTAGGGTAACATGAAGGATTATTGGGGAATGGTACTTACTCGATAAGCAATTGACGCAGTGAGTCCTCATCCTCCCCATCGCTACGATTGCTCTTGCGGGAGCCAATGGAAGCGGTTCCGTCGTTTCCTATGTATCCTGATCGCTTAAGTGAACTCGCACGGGATGAACGGTGATGCTGTGAGTGCTGAGCGGACGACGATCGCCCATCGTCTACGCCACTGCTGCGCTGCGAGTCAATCGATTGGGAACGGTAGACTGCAATGGGGGTTGGGAGGAATGGTGGTTAGTCTGGAGTTTGTTGAAATGGGATAGATTGATCATACTCATACATCTTTTTAGCCAAATAATTCTGGCAACAGATTCCTAGGCCTGTGAGCATGCTTGGCATACACAGTTTTGCTCACGAACGGCTCATTTGCTAATTACTTTGCACAGAGTTGACGAAACATAGTTCTGTTTGAAGCAGTAGATAGAATAGAGTTTAAGCTTTTTATAGGTAAGTAAAAAAAGGAGATTTTAATTATACTAATAAACTGTATTTGATTTTGCGTTGCAAAAATGAAGTGAGAAATGCTCTCAGCACATCTCGGACTTTAAGTGTAAAAATTCATTGGTGTTGATTCAAATAATAAGATTTATCTACTCGTTGCATGTCTACAGTAAACTATGATTCTATCAATTACTTTAAAGAAAACTAAATTTCAACAACTGAGTGAAAAGTTATTAACAAATCAGCAGTTGGTGTGTACAACTGGCATGTCAAGCATGCCTGTGAGTCGGGTGTTGATTTCGATTATTTTTTGGCAATCAACTGAAAAACCCTTTTCGTCACAGCAACAAGAAGGATCTAAAATTGATCCTCAATTATTGATAATTATTCTACTCAAAAGCACTACGGCAACCGAGCGTAAATAATTAACACAAATTTATCCCTTTAAAACGTCCACAACTAGTGCTCAGTTGCCTATCCGGAAAAGACATCCGTTTCTACTGGAAGGTGCCATCCAGTCCGTCCAGAACAAGAGGACATAGAACCAACGACTGTAAAAAGAATTTTAATTTAAATTGGTAGCTCGAGCAGAAAATTCGACAATCTAAAATTTATAACATTTCATCCCTTCAGGCGATGGACGAATCAACTTTTCTTATCATTCGGCCGACCCCTCTCCACCCAAGTGTAAAGTTTCAACTTCTCAAGTCCCTATCAGAAAGGACGTTCTTAGTGGCTGTCTATCCTTATCCAGACTCGACTTGTTCACAGAACGAACGGTTGTCTATTAATCTGTAATGACTTGCTCTCGATTTCGCCAGTCCGGGTTGGATGATGCTGGAAATTGACCTCATCCATCCCCCGGCATTGCTTCTTCTAATTTGGGATGAGCTTCCTTTGATTCCGTAGTGCATGATTATCAACGAGAGCAATCTCTTCTGTTCCAATTCTGAAATTCGAGTTGAGCCCTTTTCAACATTCCTATGGTAAGGAAATGGCCTTTCAAATTTACGAATTCTTGATTTAGAACTCGTCATCGAATCCTAAATTTCAAATCCAATCTACTTAGAGGTCCATGTCAGTAGCATATTGAAACACCGGTCTTCGTTCAGGTTCACCTTTGAACACTCAGACCGGGAAATTTATCCCCCGGAGTGCAATGAATCAGCTCCTCATCATAGCAAATCCTCGTCCGTTCGTTGCCTCGTATCTTATTTTTTTTCTCTACATCCCCCCTCTACTCGGAAGCACCTTACCCGGTACAATCTTTTGCCCAGATCGGGCACGAGTGAAACATTGAATGTTCATTAATTTTCTATCAAAATCGAGTTATCGGGACCAGTGACCAAACAGGGATCAAAGATCGATGACCACCGATAGCAACGACTCGCCAAGTCATTGATATGCTCCGCTGCAGGCGAGAGAAAGCGAGGCAGATAAGACCTTTACCTCGTAAGTATGGAGCTTACGGGAAAATTCATCAACAAAAATAACAACTTTTCGGACGGAGCAGCAAAACACGTAAAGGTCAAACTGAGTAGATTCTCTTTCTGGGAAATTAAGAGCAATGTTCGTTACGTACGACCCCACCTGAGTGGAATATCAAGATGTAGGTGGGCCTCAGGATAAAGTGAAATGATTATATTTGCTGATGGAGGAAATACTGGCGAACGTATTGGATTATTGCAATAATTATAAACGATGATATTTTGTTTACAGATGCCATCGAAAACTGGTTTTCATTTATGAGCTGGTTATTCGTAATGACACAATTCAAAAATTAAATTTATTGTTATGGATGTTGTTCGGAAGGCTGAGACCAAAATAAATAGCTCTAGATTGTCAATCCTCAACCTTTCAGTAAATGAGTCTACATAATTACGTAGTGTCTGATTTACTGTTTTAACTTTTTTTAGGCGCATTAAAAAATCTGGGTATTAAACATACGTACGTAGTTCATGTTTCCGATAATAGAACAGATTTATGATACGTAATTTCAATGGAAAAAGTGCCGAATAAAAGTAGAATGAAATAAATAGATGCACCCCTAACGAATCTATAGTGTGTAGGAGCTTGGGATTGAACCCACGATCTTCTGCAGAGCAAGCAAAAATAGTCTCCTTTAGACCATCCATCCCTTCTTATCACAACACACCGCTTATGATCAAGTTGTTTCAAAGCCGGTAACGTGATGGCGAAACGAGAGCAACTGTGACGTATAACGAAACCCCAGGAGAAGGACAGTAGTGAAGTCAGGGGGCAGGACACCTTTGCTTAATATATCAAAATATAGACTTAAATAACAACAATATCCGTAGAACAAACATTGTCCAGCATAAAAAGCTCTATCTTGGACATGAATTAGCTTTTGAAAATACTTAAATATTTTCGTGGATATTTTCAACTAGGGGAATTTACGTATTCTCGGCAACCTAAGCAGCGACCTTCTTTCTATAGCCTTTTTCTCTATGGAACGCACACATATGCAGTATTGGTTTGTTTACAATCTTTTACTGCCAGCTGCTCTAACAATTTCAGTCGAAAGAATTGTCAAAAACTGTTTCGAAACGCTTTTACAAAGCTCCAATCTTCTCTAGTGAGAGCGAGTATTGTCAGCCACCAGTTTTTCTTCGGCAACCGTTCCATTTGAACTGCATGTAAACCTGCTGTTCTATTATCGGCAACTCGAAATCAGCTAAAATTTGTAGTGCGTGTGTTTCATTTCAAGAAAACCCTGCTAGATTGCTTTTTCTCAGTGGTAAAAATTAGTCAAATTGAAGCTGAAAGCATAAAGAATCGTTTGCATGCATTCAGCGAAGTGTTTTCGTAAGAAAATCCAGTGAAAATAGTGTTTCAATTTGGGTTGCCGAAAATAGTCTGTCATGCCGAAGCCGTCATTTCCCCAATTTGATGTTATTTTCAAATATATCTAAGCTGTATTGTCCCTGAAGCAGAACTAGACATTCACATGGAAGCTATGTAGAAGCATTAGAAGATGTATTCAGCACGCCTTTGTACATCCCATTCCAAAGCGTTGGACCAAGAATGGAACCTTGTGGAACTCCCAAAGTGATCCTAAATGATCTCTGTCCCATGTCTGTCTCGTAGACCAGCACCCTGTTCTGGAAATAACTCCTCATAATCATGCACAGGGGCTTTGGCGATGGCTTCCCAGCTGGCGCTGTTGAATGCATTCTTGAGCTGGCTCTATTGAATGACGTTCTTCTAACACAGCGCAATATCGATTTTCACTCCATTTCTGTTTGATCGTACACGTGTTTGTGCAAGGGCGTAGCCAGGTTTCGAGCTAGGGAGGGGCGAAAAAAAATACTATGGAAAATTTGGCCGAATGCCATTTCACCGAAAGCCTTTGTATTGCTGAGTTTAGGGGTCCCCTCCCGGCTACGCCTATGTTTGTGTGTACAGAAACATTTTGTGACTCATGTTTCTTGGACAACACAATCATCAAATGAAACGTACCGGGAGCAAGACATTTCGCCAAAAAAAAATGTGCCGTTTTTTTCGAACGAGTAATTTTGCCAAATAGGTCATTTCGCCGAAGGACATTTCACCGTGTAGATGCCGAAAATCGATGTCCAACGTCATTTTTTAATCCAAGCTGGCAGCCATTGGTTCCAGAAAACTGTCAAATACCCTACAATAAAAGGTATTTTCGGAACGGGACCGACGTGTAGATGCCAAAAATCGGTGTCCAACACCATTTTAGAATCCAAGATGGTGGCCATTGATTCATGTTACATCCCAAAAATCGATGTCTGACGCCATTTTAGAATCCAAATTTGGATGATGGCCATTGATTTAAATAAAAAAAAAACTATCAAATACCCTACAATATGGATATTCTCGGAAAGGGGACGACGTTTAGGTGCCGAAAATTAATGTCCAACGCTATTTTGAATCCAAGATGGCAGCTCTAAGATTCGGAAAAACTGTAAAATACCCTACAATATGGGTTCTCTCGGAACAGGTACGACGCGAAGACCCACACCGTTTGAAAATTCATGTAAATTTCTGCGAGATATAGCGCACATAAAATTAACACTAGATTTTGCGTAAGTTTACACCACATGTTGTGTAAATTAAAGCGCAATATCGCATAAATTAGCAATGTTGTATGCAAGCTTGTAAATGATTTCGCTGTTTATGCCAAGTATAGCTCAAATTAAACGAAGGGAGATTTTATGCGATAGTTAAAATTCAGATTTTTTTTTTCTGTGCAGAAAATCGATGTCTGATGCCATTTTTGAATTCAAGATGGCAGCCATTGATTTAAGAAAAATTATCAAATACCCTACAATTTGCTGCCACCACATCTTGGATTTCATAATTGGCTCGGACATCGATCTCTGGTCTCTAGATGTCATCCCGATTCCAAAAATAACCATATTTAAGAGTATTTGACAGTATTTCCCACTTTTTTTTTAAACCGTAATCTGCCATCTTGGATTTCAAAATGGTTTCGGACATCGAGGTCTCTATTCAGCTGTCTGATTCTTAAAATACACATATTAAAGGGTATTCGAGAATAATTCCCACTTTTTCTGGAACAGGAAGCCACCATCTTGGATTTCAATATGGCACCGGACATCTATTTACGGTCTTTGGACGTCATTTCGATTACGAATATATAAATTGTGAGGGGTATTTGACAGAATTTCTCACTTTTTCTGAAACCGGAAGCCACCATTTTGGATTTCAAAATTGCGTTGGACATCGATATCCACTTGCTAGACGTCATTCCGAT